TGTTTCCTTTTTACCTGGACCTAGGCAGAATGCCCAAGGGGAGGTACAACCTTCCTAAGTGACCTAAGTTAAGAGTAGTTCTAAGGTTCCAGCACCCTCCAATGCCAAGATATGTCCTGTCTGTGGGACAGTTTCTTTGAAGAACATGACCCTTGTACCTATTCTTCCACGCAGGACTACCAATTCAGTGGAAAGCCACCCATGTTTTGCAGTTTCTGCAAACAGAGGCTCGTTGCTGCCCTCTAGTGACCATAAAAGCTTGCTACCCTACAGCATGGGGAAGGCTCTACTACAGCTCCAGACCTGGGACATCCTTTTCCTCCATGCACCAAGGCTATTGCACAGTCAGCCAAGGACGCTAAGGAACAAGGCTGCAATACCTCCTCCCATGCTACACCTGCACCTCTGACACTTTGGCTCTTACCTGGTCTAGTATATGCGAGTTGGGTATTTCATTTTTCAGTCTCCATGCTACTCCCACGTGAGACTCAGGAGAATCAAATCTGGCAGTAGTTGGGGTCCTCACAATCTCAGCACCCAGAGCTCTCAGGACATCCACCTGTAGTAAACAAAGGTGGTCACAAAACCCAAAACCGCTCTCTCAGCACAGAGACTTCATTGAGATGCAGGGGAAAGAAAACATCTTCCCTTTTACCTGGTCTGCAATAGCTTCCTTAGCAGTTCTCCTACACTACGGACTCACACCATTACTAAGCCATGGGTCCAAATCCTTAATTTAATTTGTTCTTAACTAAGCTTTACTTGGGAGCTAGATGTCAAACTCCTGTCTCTATTCTAGGCCTTCAGGCCTGTAGGGACTATTACTACATATTAAGAAGGCTCATTCAGGCAAAGCGCCATCTCCTCTCAGGCCAGTCATATATGCTCTGCATTCCAACAGTGCTATAGCCCAGGATTTTATGTTTAAGTGCAAATTACATATTTTTACCTCCTTTGGACACAGGCAGCAAAGGACATCCTCCACCACCCTATGCACCACCCAACTGCTACGAGGGCAAGAAGATTTATGTCACTGAGCTAAGGCAAGGCCCGTCTTCAGAGGGGAGGCCTTTGGTGCTGCACGGCACATGGCAATGGCCATGCGGTACCTCTCCCTCCAGAGGAGGTAAGAGCAAGTAATGGGTATAGGCCTTCAGGGGACATTGTTCTCATTTGTGCTGCTGCCTTTCAGCTGGAACACTGGAAGCGTTTGAATCGAGATAAATGGTTTTACTAACAGCGATTTGTTGCCTCAACTGTGAGACACGGAGGATCCCTTCTTCTGGCTGCAGGTGCAGCACCACCCTAGTGGAGCGCAGGACAAGGCTTGCTCTAGAGCTGGATGTTCTGCGCTTTCCACAGTGAAGGTAAGTGGACATTACCCAGGTGGCTTTTCCTTCCCCTTTGTTGCTGTGGTGACACAACTCAGATGCTTGCCAGTACTCCCCGGGTGTAACCTGCGGAGCTCAGCAGGCTCTTTAATGGCCTTGCTCAGCCCAGTGCAGAACAGAAGAATATTCAAAGCTTCAGCATTACCTTACTTTGATCTCCTTTGCTCAGTGAGCAACTGCTAACCCAGGGGCAGGTAGTTACTTCAATGTGCTAGGTAAATCTCAAGTTCCCTTGACATTTGTATTTAAAACAGTTATGACAGTTTTCAAGTGACAATGCTGCGGGGATGGGTCTTAAACGTATTTCGGTCCACGGCTAGCCAGCCTGGATTTCTCTGGGCACTGGCAATAGGCCCTCAGCAGAGTTCTGCCTGGCCAGTGACTTGGAGGCCAAGAGCCTACACCTTTGTTGTTTAAGCACTCATCTGCACCAGGAACTCTGCAAGTGCAAACATGCTTATTTTTTAATTCTTGAAAATAAAAGCAAATCTGACCTTCTCCATACTCATTTTCTCTGGCATCACAATGATACAGCGGTAACCCTTCACTGCTGCAGCCAAGGCCAGCCCAATTCCTAGAAACAAGCAAGCACACGTAGAGCATACAGTGAGGAGCAACAAAGAACAAAACCCACAATGCTAGCTTTGGCATGCCCCGGCTTTAATCAGATTTTCACCAGAGGCTTGAGTACAGTGTCTCTAGAGGGGTGGCAAAGGGAATGTTTCTGGCTACTGAGGAGAACTGGATCTCCAGATGCTGCTAGTTCTTTAAGGATCACAGCCAAGTTTAGCCAAGGGTGGGGAAACTTGACATGTGCAAACTGCTAACTTTACCACATGCACCTTCCTCCTGTCCCACCCTTCATTTTTACAGAAGTAATTTGGGAAAGGAATGAGCTTTAAGCTAAAGACAATTAGAGCAATCATTTTGATACTGTCAGAAGAGTATTAGAGGCTCTACTGACTCATTTCTGCATTAAATCCCTAGTTTGCAATGTGCCAAGATTAAGTCCTTTCTAAAAGGACACGATTTAGATGCTGCGTGTGATTGAGGTTCTAACGCACTATGTCAGCTTGCTACCACAGTGAAGTACCCTGACTGTTAGAGACAGACACCTAATTTCTACTTTAAAAATCTGTACCTCCAGCCTGATTTCTGCCTTCCAGCTTGTCATCGTCTGCCCACCTGAAGAGCTAAGCTCAGAAGTGCCTTCCCCACAGAAGTTTACACCTGTTATCAAATCACCTCTCTGCTGGGTAAGCTAAACAGATGAAGTTAGTTGATATGTGTCTGAGGTCGGACTGCACAGCACCTCCCCTGCTGTTTTGGGTACCAGGCACAATACTAACACATGCATATGACAATGCCTCACAGGCAGTTTACCCTACACAGAGACTTGCTTGTTCAAAGCTGGCTCTGTTTCTACATGGTGCTGGATTGCACAGGGGTGAAGGAAAAAAAGAAAAAAAAATATTTAACTGTTCGTGCAAGAGAAGCGTAACTCACACGTCAAGTAATCCAAGTAGTGTTTAAATATTTGGAAGGGGGTGGGGGAAAACCCAACTATTCTCAGTATGGATAAATATGGATGCCAAATAAAAAAAAAAGACAACAACAAAAAAAAACCCACCAAAGAAAAAAAGACAGCAAAGGCCTCACTAAGGCCAAAGACTGAAGAGAAGCCATCCAGCACTTTCCCTTATGGTCTGTGATGAAGCAAGCATTTTGAGACCTGAACTCTAACACTTTGTACTTTCTGTTACTGACCTGGAAATGCAGCAAACATCAAAATGGGACTTTGGCTGAGGGAGAAGTGGGATGCAGAAAGGACAAAAATACAACACATTAGCTCTCGCATTTAACATACTCAATAGCTCTGAGCAGTAGCCTAGAGCAAAATCCAATTCTCTCAGGTTACTGCCTGCCCTGGTCTTTGCTTTTAAATGAAAAAAAGACAGATTTCCAAACTAACTGTCCTGTACCTCCTTCAGTTCTGCCTTCTTTCTATCTTTTGAATTCTGTGGCAAGGAGAACCATTTATCAGGTACTGACCCAGAAAGCCGAATGTCATAGCATGACCTCAGATACTGGAGGAATGCAATATATGGATATTTTCCACTACATGCCATCGTTCAGGCAAGAGGTATAGCCACAGTCACAAGGGCTTCAGTTGCACTGCTCCCCCCACAGAGCACCTGCTGAGCAAATGGCAACAGATATGACTTCCCAGTTTTCTGCTGAAGGCAGGGGAACTGGTCACAGATCAGCTCAACATCCCAGTCCCTCCATGAACAAAGGCTGGACTGGATCAAAAGAATAACAGAAAGATCTGCCTGGCCTGTGTCTATCAGAAGGCTACAGTGGATGGGATGCCCAGGAAGAAGTTTAAGAACAGGACAAGGTACCTCTCCAGAACACAACAGGCAGGGAAGTAGCTTGTAGCTTAGCTCATGAACCTCCTCAGAGGAAGCAGTATATTTTATATTTAACTCGCTCAAGGGGGAACATTCCAGGTATGTTTACTCCCCACCAGAAGAGCAGCTTAACAGAAGTACAACAGCTGTGATGCAGGAGCCCAGAGTTAACTCCTGTCTGCTTGGATCATCAGATGCTCTGCCCTGGCCCCTGATTAGAGGGACTGTTCCTTCCTCCAGCCCTCCAAGTAAGAGACACTGGCCCAGGTGGAATCTGTTGAAAATGTAGGTGCGCAAGGGCTGTGTTAGCAGATAAGTTGCATCCCTACAGCACTATCTCCCATCTCAGCTGTACGAAATGGGAAAGGCTGTTTCTCAAACCAGGCCCACCTGAACTGACAGAGCATAGGAACGAGGACCATGGGACCTCCCAAACAGAAGGGAAAGATCCAGATTCACACCAGTCTTTTGGTGCTTGATTTCCAACAATTTCAGTCAGACTTTAATTCCTGACTAGGACCTAAAGACCCTAGTGAGTCTGGCCTAACACTTTTTTTCTTTTAAAGCAAAGAGCCCCTGCAAATTTAGCAGGCCTCCTTCCCAGCTGTTCTGGTCAGCATAGGACACAGCAGAATTGTTCTTTGTGCGAGATGGAAGAGGCACTGCTCCCTACACCACGCGGGCAGGAAGAGATCCCCTTTCTTCCTTGCACAGACAGCCTCCATGCTCCAGTCTCAAGCCTGCCTGTTCCAGGAAAACCACCACAGCACTTTCCCCCACACTTTGCTAGGGTCTCTCCATTCCCTACCTGTGTTTCCAGAGGTTGGCTCTATGATCGTGTGCCCAGGCTTCAAGATCCCAGCCTTTTCAGCATCCTCTACCATCCTCAGGCTGATACGGTCCTTCACACTGCCCCCAGCATTGAAGAATTCACATTTTGCCACTGGAAACAAAGAAACCAAGCAGAGTTCTTGAACAACAGTCATTTGTTAGACAGGCTGCTGATCCCTAATATATCTGCAAGAGCAACTCTGTTAATGTGTCTGCCCAATTCACCTCCCTACTTTACGACACCAGAGACGGGGATTCAGTTCACAGTTCTCCACTGTTGTGGGTCACAACACCACAGCAAGTTTGGTACTTGATGCTGGCCACAGAAGCCAGGAACATGGCCATACTCTGTCAGTCTCCTCAAAATATGACCTCTCCTTTTGTCTTTCCTGTATTACAGCCTTTTGTCTTTCCTCCTTATTACAGCCCAGTCATTAGTATAAAAAGCCTCAGGGCTCTTCCAGTGCAATAGCACGGGGGAAGGGAACTCTACCAACATGCCTTGCCTCATCCAGCCAAAGAGTGTCTGATCAAACTGGAAGTTTCTCCCCTTGTTCAGCCTACACTTTCACTTCAATACTCCCAGCATTAAACCCCTCAATGGAGTTAACCACCACCTTTCAGGACTCCGATCAGGGCCTCCAGAGATCTCCAGTATGACTGGATTTAAAACACCCAAACAAACAAACACCAATGAATACTCTGAATATGAGAAACAGTCAAAAACTTCATACAACTTTGTTGAAATTTAAAAAAATTATTTTCTATGAGAAAAGTTTTACTTTTTCTGCAAAAATGGAAAATCTGCAGGAAATGTCCTCATGAAGTACAAGTTGAAAGATGTTTTAGATGACCAAATCCTAAAAACCTGAAAATCTTCCAATGAAAAAGAAGAATTTTTCTCACCATTTTCTGCAGGGTACCAGCACTCCTCCTATGCCCAGGTTACATGACACTACTAACTAGGACTACCCCAGTTTCTGAAACAGTGTTTCTTATTTTGATTTTCTACCTGCAGCAGTACTCACAGAGTTCACACTTGAGCCCATACCGCTTCCCAATCTTGTTGATTCGCACCAAGGGTGTATCGCCAACTTTATTCAGGATGCTTGGCATGATTTTCAGAGGCTCTGGCCTGGTACACATACAAAAAAAGTCAGTGTATTCACAGAAGGGGCCACAGGCAGGTCACAGAAAAGCAACACAGCATTTCTGATGCTTTTTATTTCAGCCAGCTTTCTCCCTCCCCTTTATCGGGCTAGTTATTTTAGCTATTTTGGTTTAAAAGGATGTCCGTTGGATACAAATTCATAAAACATTAAGTCCTTGATCCAAAACAAGGATTAATTAGACATCACGCCAAGTGCTGAGACAAGAATGAAGTGCTCTGCACTTCCTCCTGGCATGAAGTAGCTTAGCACTGCTCAGAGTCAGCTATTTTCCAAGCAAAAGGCATTAACAGTGCAATCTTTCATCTAGTCAGGGAACTGCTTGCCAGGTTACTTAAAATAAGTTTGTTCCAGCCCATGTAGTTTCACATCTTTGGTGCAAGGCCCATTGTATGCTTAATCTGGGCTCTTAGCTTTGCTTATACATGGAAATTTAGAAGCATCAGCATATCTACATGCTAAACAGCATCAATTTAAATCGGTCATCTTTTGTTAAATCCACATGGATCTGAGGGGACCTGGATTAGTGCCATACTGAAAAATGGCAAAGAAAATTAATACTTACAGAGTGGTATGACGATGCGGGGAGGCAGAGGGGGGTTTCCCTAGCTTCCACGTGCATTTGCTAGGTGTATCAGGGCGGATCCACTCCCTTTCCTTCTCATTAGCCTTGCAGTTCTCATTGTCCATCCCACCAGGGAGAAAATATTTGCCAGGTGCATGAGGGCATGAGTTCGTATCTGGCTTCTCCTGGGAAGGAAGTGTAGGCATTTCATCCTTGGGGGAGGGGGAAAGGGGCGGTGGGAGGGGAAGAGAGAAAAAAAAAGAGGAGAGGGGAAAAAAAACCACAAACGACAGAGTGATTCTTATGCCCTGCTGTAACAAGGTCAGAGCATCTTTTGAGATTATCAAAGTTATTCAAGTTCTGCACTATGGGAAACCACCCACTCACATCATTGCCCCCCCTACAATAGCTAAAAATCATGGTACTAATAAGTCCTTATTCTTGTCTCCGTCCCTTCACCAACATATCTATTTCCAGTCTAGTGTTTCGGCATGAGTTCTTCTGAGGGAAGCCTGAACAGAAACAACCCTGGTGGCAATCTTCAAGAGAGCAGTACTGCCTACAAGCCAAAGGGGGCAATGGCAACAAGTAGCTTTTAACACCCAAGAACAGGTTCTGCCAGTGACTACAAGAGATCTTGTCACTATACCTAAGACCCGGGTATTAGGGGAGAAAGCATAGTATGTCTCAGACTAATCTCATCCTCAAGTGTCCCAGTCTTCTTTTTCCTTTATATGAAAAAGGTCACAACAAATGGGTGGGTATTTTAATAGTCAGTTGATGTTTCCACAGTACTGTGAAGATGGGAAAGCATTTCAGCACAATTTTGATTTGCCAAATCCTTATCACCAAAACAGAATCTTGTACTGCAATGTTGAGTGCAAAAGCTTAGTACAGTGCCCTACATGAAGATAACCGAAACACACCGAAGCATGTGCTTACTATAACTAGCCTCCATAAACATTAAGAAAAACAGGACTAGTCTCACGGGAGACACCCCTCCCACACCACAACACAGCTCTCTGAAATAAAACCTCCCCATTCCAAGTGGAGAGGAACAGACAAAGACTGTTTGGTGACTAATTAGCAAATGGTGCCAAAGACTCTGCACTGCTACTTGTAGTCATGAAGAACTCTTCCAGAAAGGCCACTTTCAATAGCACGTACCTCCACAGCATTCCAGAAAAAAAACCTAGAAATCCCTCTGAGAACAGACAGGGCTTTCCTAAATTCTGGTGACAGAAACACAAGCAAACAGTATTCCCCAAAGACCAATGAGTACCTTAGACACAGAAACAGGCCCTTCCAATATCAACTTCTCCATATTCTTTGGTGGAGGTGACGGCACAGCAGATGACTTTCTTCAGGAGACCAAATACTGTGTGTCACGGGACTGGAATCCTCTTCAAAGCTGCAGATCATGTAAGTTAGAGGGGAAGAAAAAAAAAAAAAAAAAAAAAAAAATCAGGAAACAGCCTCTTGTAGGGGCAAGACACACATCCCACCTTCACAGGCAAAAAAAAGAAGCTGCAAAACAAAGTGAAGATGACTTGTATAAACAGGATAAAAAAACCCCCATGCAGCAGAGGTATTGCGCAAGAACAGTGGAGGGTCTCCTGACCCTGTTCCTCCTGTATTACCTTATCTTCCCTCTGCCCTGCCCACCACAGTTCAGATCCAGTAAAGTAAGCAGAAAACATCTCTATTGGACTGTCTGCAATTCCATAAGCTTGAAAGCCATACAAAATAATAGAAAATACTCCAGTTCACAGGATATATACTTCTAGGGACACCAAGGATGAAAGGGCTTCATGGTGCCATCACCAAAAGACCCTGTACACAACTTAGGAAAAGGCTTTATACAGGAACACTTGCAGGAGCCTCTCTACCCTTGAGGAGACCAAAATCTCACAAGTTCCTACCCGAACTGAATTAGTGTTGCATGCACAACTATAGCGATGCTGGATACACACAGCAAACACTTCAACCACAAGGAAGCAAGGAAGCCTTCTAGCAGGCTTTTTTCCAGAAATTAGTAAATATAAAATGGAAGCAGTCAGTTCACTTCTCCTACACCAGCCAGTTGTTTACAGAGGCTGCCTGCTTCCTTTCCATTGAAGGCAAAAATCTGGCTGAATTCTTGGAAAGTGTGGGTTTTTTTTCCTAATATTTGTTTCTCATCACCATTTTGCAGCAAGATTCAAGCTCTTTCCATTACTGAATTGTGCTAGGCCTGGAAATGGTCCTTGGCCTCATCCTCCTTCTGACATATGCACACAAACCAGATACAGCTTGTATCAGGCAGAGCTGATGGTCTGGTGACGCACTGGAAAAAAGTCCAAATCATGGGGCCAGTGAACTTTAGCATTTGATCCTGCAAGTTAACATGCACCACTAACCCCTACTGCCTTAGGCCCACCAATTCCTTTCTTACATGCCTATTTGAAAAAAATGCCTATGGCATTTAAACTGCCCTCCTTTAGCGAAAAAGCCTCTGAACATGCCAACTTTCCAGACTAAGGCTTGAAATAATTCTCCTTCTGGATATAGAGACTTCCATGCCACCAAAATGATACCACTTTACTGTATTTAGGTTAATACATGCCCAAGATCCAAGATGGACTACATCCTGTCCTAGACTACTGACTAGGACTAGACTGAGAGACAGCAGTCCAAGAAAGCTAATACCCCATAAATACACATAATCTAACACCAACCAGTCTTTGTTACCAGAAAAGAGCTTACTTCTAGTTCCAGAGCAAAAAAAAGCCTTCATTTCTATTTCTGGAAAGTGCCTGGCTCACAGTTTAGAATATCAGCACTTTTTTTAGTAAAGAAAAAATACTGGAGAAGTTTCAAGGCTTCCTACAAGCCACATCCACATGCTCCTTCAGACAGCTGGCATGCAATACCGGACACAGAACCGGCTGCCTCTGCTCACAGGTAACACTGACAATATTTATAAAGTCCATTTAATAACAGTACCTTGCTGCCAAAGGATCAAACTATTTCAACACACAGGAAGAAAGCAGCAAGGGGTTATAGACAGGAAATAGCAGATTTTGTTCATCTTCTAGGTTCTCATAAAATAGTAGTACAAAACCAAACCTCAAAACACCAATCCTCAGTGTCCTTCAAAAGGGTTCAAAAATTGAGGGGAATGGGAAAGAAATTTGTTGCAGTAAAAGAATCAGAGGTTTCAAAAAAAAAAAAAATGTGCTTGTTCTCTGCATTGCAGGCAAGAAAGAAAGGAATGTGGCTCTCTTCAAAAGTTGCCTTTTGGAGGATTCCCTCATTTCCTCTATTGTAAGGCAAAAATATCCACAATACAGTAACAGCAACACCCATCACCTCTTGAACTAGAAACAGCAGAAATGAAGGAAAAGCTGTATTTATTGCCTTCAACTAAATGGTGAGATTCTCTCATGTATTTAGAGGAATGGCAATACTTTGATGTTTGATCAAAGCTTCAGTAATGGGTCTAGAACTTTGAACAAAAGTGAGGGAAGAGAGAAAAAAACTAGCCACAAGCATTGCAAACAGAAATCCTGTCACAAAATACTAACCTTAAGCATCATTATTCATTGGAAGGAACACAAGCTCCTGCTCAATAAAGCCCTTCAAATCAGTTTATTAGGCCTTGTTTTAAATAACTCCACACCCACCCAGCCCAAAGTAGATAGGTATGAATATATATATTTATGAAGTCAAATTCTAATCATGCTGGTAGAGAATCAGTCTCAGCTATGGTCAGACTAGTATCTTAGGGTTTTGAAGAAGGACAAAATCCTAGGACAGACTTGGTTGCTCTCCAAGAAGAATTCTTACTACAGCACTCAGTGGAGACATAAAAGCATCTGCGATGGCTTACAGTTATACCTAAGAAACAGGTCAAGAGCCCAAGAGTGACTTGTCATGTTCAGAACCAACAGGAAGACCTCAGATCTCTGAGCTCCTTCAGTGCTACCCATGAGCTTCCTGACACACCACCCTGAACATCCAACTGGTGCTTACAGCCCAAGATGATGCAACTTCAGCAAAACAGGGAGCAGAGGTGGTCAGTCTAGGACATTGAAATTCCCCCCAAGACCTATGATCCTGCCTACGGGCCCAAATCAGGCCATAGGAAGCTGGTGAATCTTTCTGCTGCAGGGATCTTTGGGGGACAAAGAGAAGGGGATGAACAGAAATCACCAAAACAGAGGACGACAGCAACTTTTTCACTAGCCTGACCCTCCTCTCAGTCTTTCCTCTTGGAATGCAGACTGGGAAGACAGGACAGGAGAATGGTGGCTGCTGCTCCAACTGCAATTGAATGCTGCTCAGAAGAGTCTGAGAGACATAAGCTGCAGGAAGAGTTGCCCATCTTCAGGAAAGAAATTCTGTCAGCCTGAATTTAAGTTTGCTGTAAAAGAGAACACTCCCATAACTAGCTGGGGGTGTGGGCAGAGTCTAACTAGAAAATCCTGACTAACTTCTGCCATTATATCTGCAGAGAGCACGAGGCAGAAAAATCAGAAAGACAACTTACAGTCACTTAAACCTAAACCACGAAGGGGACTGGGACATAGGCAGAGGTATGGGATCCAAAAAGCCTCATGGGAAAAGCTCACATCTCTGGATCCATCTCCACAGGGAACCCAAGACCTAAACTATTTCTCAACTCCTACAGAACAGGACTGAAGGCCAACGAGTGAAATTAATCCCCAACCAGACTGAGCTGAACTCACTCCACAGATATGTTAGGAGCTACAGTTTCTAAGGCTGTTTACAGTACATGATGTCAGCACTAATGCAGACATTTAAAGAGTATCATGTGTGCGAGACCCTAATTAACTTGAGTCTTGTCTGAAGCAGAAATGAACCTGTCTAAAAGGCAGGTGTAAGAGGTGGATCAGAGAGAGATGCCCCAAGGGCTGACTACTCAGCAAGAGATGAGATAAAGGATTCCATTATGCTGCGGCCTGAGAATGGGAAACTTTGACATTAAGCAAGTACTTTACTCTGTGAACAAGTAAACCACTGCAAACCAATTGTTCTGCTCACTCTGAATATCACAGGGCGTAAGAGAGCTTTAGGATCTTTACAGGTTACCAGATGTAGCAGTACCCATCCAGCCTCTGGAAGCTGTTCAGAAACACTACAGCTGTAAGTGTTTTAGGAGACAATCAGCCAC